CCTAAGGATTGACTGCTCTAATGATATGATGAAAGATATGGTTTCAAAACCCATAGCGAAGACTGATTTCAAAGTCTTCAATGCCTTCAATACCATCGAAGGCGACAAAACTAATCGCCAGAAGTCTTGCGTTGTTTTACCGCAAAGATATTTGGCGTTAATGTCTTTGTCGATGGGTTTTATACTGATATGGATATCAATGATGGCATCGGTTCTCGTGTCCAACACTTTCAAAGACAATGTGTCGGCGAAACAAACGCTTCATGTCTTTCAAACTCACAAACAAATGGCGAGAATTGTCTTCTCTATTGGACACGAAATGGGTTTGTATTGTTGTCTTCGTTTCGATTGATTATTATTAACATATGATTGGATTGACTGACAGTCTCGACAGTGGATTGGTTGGTATCCATTGAATCCAAACCCAGATCTCGTTCGTTGACAATAGAGGAAGCGATAGGAATCACTTGGAAAATGACTGATTCAGTCATCGCTGATGTCAGACGTGTTTGCAATGACGAAGAACTTCCCAAACTCTTGACTCTCATTGAATTCAAATTATCGAAAATCAGATCCAACGAAGTCTTCGTCGGACAAAATCCACTCAAAATCATTAAATCTTATGACACTTTGTTTGAAGCGATCGAAAGAAAAAGCTTTTCATTAGATTTCGCTTCCAACCCATCGACAGTCAAACCAGACATTCAGACTTCTATCACATATCCATTATTTATCAAAGGAATGGCGAAACGATTCTCTGAACTATCACTCGGAACAGTATTTGTTAGGTTTGTATTCAATGGTTAACTAATGAAAGCGATTGTAATGGCCTTTAATTCAAACCAACAGATCCGACATCACTATCAATAAATCAGATTATTATTACTACCACTTTATTAGTAAACATCTAATCGATAGCGCATTTCAATTGAACCCAAGAGTACAGAACCGATATTTTGAGCTTCAAGACAGTGACGGCACGTCCGAAGTGTTGGTCACTCTAATGGATGATAATCTCAACCGACGGGACAATCATTTGGCGAACCTTTACTTGAATTCTGTCAAGAATGAGATCGCGATACTTCTTCGCGCGCGAGACTTTCTAAACACATCTGTGTCCGCACAAGTGACCCAATCGGTGACACTTAATGATAGAGTGTTGGCCTTTCACGTGACCATCGCTGTGATCGCCGTCTTCGCCGTCATTCTAAGCCTCACTCTCTTGTGTTCGGCGTTTGGATACAAACAAAATAAAAATGTCTTAAGAACTGACACCAATGGCGAACGCAATGATAACACAGTCTATAGCATTGAATTTGATGACAAAGTTCAGATCTTTGGAACCAATTCATCCAAATAATCCATTTCTTACTTCTCGTATAACTTTTATACCATATTTATATAGTTTTATCATTCATTTCTCATATCATTAATCACTTCTTATATGCATTTAATATATTATTTATTAACATTTCTTAAATTCAATTCTTTTTAAATACATTTAATATAATTAAAAAGCCAAACAATGTTAACCATTCGCTCATTAAATAAATCCCAATTCAAATTAATTTGTCAATAATTTACGTCAAAATCTATTTAATAAATAATTTATAAAAAAAACATTTATATCTAAATCCCGTCAAAATAAATAAATAAAATGCGTTTAAAATGCATAACAAAAAAGTTTACAAAATCGTTGTTTTGTCTGAATCTAACACATCATTGTATTGCACATGAATTGTATCGATGTTTTGGTTTAACATCAGGTTATCAATCACTGTATCGTCTAACGTGTCAGTCGTGGCCACACTCTCGGTGTCATCCATTTCGCTGTTGGTTCCACTCCTGGTATGCCTTTTGTAGAACCAGTCGACAGGAATGCCAATCATTTGCGACAAGTCTTCCGATTCGAGACTTAGTTTTCTTAACGCTTTTGTTAGTCGTGGAGACGAAGAAGCGGGCGATTCGGCGCCGACCCCAACACCTCTCGACTCGAGAAGAAGCAAATTATCGATTTTCCGCTTTTGGTTGATCTCATCGCTAATCTCTTCGAGTCTATGCAATGCCTTCGAGTAATTGAGTTTCGCTTTCGCCACTCTCTGCTCATACGAACGGATTTTATTGATCTGTTCCTAAAAGTAAACATCACTTCAATTCTGGGCTTTAGTTTATAAATGCATTTTACACTTACGTCTAACATTTGGTTGAATTGTGCCTTCATTTCAAAATAAGGCCTAAAATGAAATGCAATTCTTATAGCAATTTGTTTAAAACAACAGTTAATACCCAATAACCAAAAGAAAAGCAGGAAATGAGACATAAAACAGAAAAATAGTGCATATTATTGAAAAAGAAATGTGAAAAAANATTGCGAACGCGAGAGGATTAGCGAACAGTTACTCCACCAGAAGGTGTCGCAGGACTACAACAATTCGGAACAATTGGTCCTACAATTGCATAAACAATTGAAGCGTTCAATCAATAAAGCCAGGTATGCATGCATTCCCAACCCATACAACTACACAAACAACAAATTGTCATTTTATTTGTTATTTTTATTATTTAATACAAGTTTTTTTGTTTATTTTTTGACGAACGCATTGAAAGGTCTTTATTGTCATTCAATCGCATATTTTTATTTTGAAAAACCATTGAATTCTAAGCATTCGCTTAAAATGTTGAAATAAATTGAGATTTATTTTGATAACAAAAAAACAACATTTGACACAAAAATATTAAAAATACAAAATTCAGGATTTTTTTAGTTGAATAGTATTATTGGGAAATATTTTTGTCATCATTTGATGGAAAGATTAGATTTAAATGATATAAAAAAATTTTGATAAACAAAGACAAAAGAATACATGCATTTTAAAAAGTGGATTAATGTTATACAACGACTACTTAAATACCGGATTACCATATATTGCAACCAATATTCACTTGTAATCTATTTTTAAAAATATTATTTTATTGTCGGCTCTAAAGATGCCATAAATACAGAACATTATTAATATTTATACAGTAATTTAAATTCCCATTAAAAGCTTAACGCATAGAGTAATGCAAACGGACCAATACATCCGCTAATCAATTCATTTACAATACTTAATGATTAAAACAATAGATATAATGAATATTAATATAATAAAACCCATATTTTATTTTACAAATAAACCGCCTGTCAAACCTTAGCGCAGCCTTAAATAACGTTAATTTATTATATTGCTTAGTTGTGCTCAATGTCAATGACATTCAGTAGATTATTAGATAGTATAGATGCAATTTAGACTCATATCGCATACCATTAGCTAATTGTGGTTAATAACGCTTCACTCAATACACACACAATCACATTGTGTACACGCTTTTGGGATTCACTAATGTTTGCATTTTTGTGGTTTTGCGGCTTTTCTATACATTTAATGTTTGTTTTAACAGAAATATGTTTTTTCACATTTCTTTTTCAATAATATGCACTATTTTTCTGTTTTATGTCTCATTTCCTGCTTTTCTTTTGGTTATTGGGTATTAACTGTTGTTTTAAACAAATTGCTATAAGAATTGCATTTCATTTTAGGCCTTATTTTGAAATGAAGGCACAATTCAACCAAATGTTAGACGTAAGTGTAAAATGCATTTATAAACTAAAGCCCAGAATTGAAGTGATGTTTACTTTTAGGAACAGATCAATAAAATCCGTTCGTATGAGCAGAGAGTGGCGAAAGCGAAACTCAATTACTCGAAGGCATTGCATAGACTCGAAGAGATTAGCGATGAGATCAACCAAAAGCGTAAAATCGATAATTTGCTTCTTCTCGAGTCGAGAGGTGTTGGCGTCGGCGCCGAATCGCCCGCTTCTTCGTCTCCACGACTAACAAAAGCGTTAAGAAAACTAAGTCTCGAATCGGAAGACTTGTCGCAAATGATTGGCATTCCTGTCGACTGGTTCTACAAAAGGCATACCAGGAGTGGAACCAACAGCGAAAGGGATGACACCGAGAGTGTGGCCACGACTGACACGTTAGACGATACAGTGATTGATAACCTGATGTTAAACCAAAACATCGATACAATTCATGTGCAATACAATGATGTGTTAGATTCAGACAAAACAACGATTTTGTAAACTTTTTTGTTATGCATTTTAAACGCATTTTATTTATTTATTTTGACGGGATTTAGATATAAATGTTTTTTTTATAAATTATTTATTAAATAGATTTTGACGTAAATTATTGACAAATTAATTTGAATTGGGATTTATTTAATGAGCGAATGGTTAACATTGTTTGGCTTTTTAATATATAATTTACATAAATTTTTCTTAACTTAAATTCTTTACAATTATTTATTATATAATTTACGTATATTCTTCACTAATTACTATACTCTTTACTTACTATTTTGATATATTTATACCATATTTTCAAATACGAGAAGTAGGAAATTGATTATTTGGATGAATTGGTTCCAAAGATCTGAACCTTATCATCAAATTCAATGCTATAGACGGTGTTATCATTGCGTTCGCCATTGGTGTCAGTTTTTAAGACATTTTTGTTTTGTTTGTATCCAAACGCCGAACACAAGAGAGTGAGGCTTAGAATGACGGCGAAGACGGCGATCACAGCGATGGTCATGTGAAAGGCCAACACTCTATCATTAAGTGTCACCGATTGGGTCACTTGTGCGGACACAGATGTGTTGAGAAAGTCTCGCGCGCGAAGAAGTATCGCGATCTCGTTCTTCACTGAATTCAAGTAAAGGTTCGCCAAATGATTGTCCCGTCGGTTGAGATTATCATCCATTAGAGTGACCAACACTTCGGACGTGCCGTCACTGTCTTGAAGCTCAAAGTATCGGTTTTGTACTCTTGGGTTCAATTGAAATGCACTATCAATTAGATGTTTACTAATAAAGTGGTAGTAATAATAATCCGATTTATTGATAGTGATGTCGGATCTGTTGGTTTGAATTAAACACTATTACAATCGCTTTCATTAGTTAACCATTGAATACAAACCTAACGAATACTGTTCCGAGTGATAGTTCAGAGAATCGTTTCGCCATTCCTTTGATAAATAATGGATATGTGATAGAAGTCTGAATGTCTGGTCTGACTGTCGATGGATTGGAAGCGAAATCTAATGAAAAGCTTTTTCTTTCAATCGCTTCAAACAAAGTGTCATAAGATTTGATTATTTTGAGTGGATTTTGTCCGACGAAGACTTCGTTGGATCTGATTTTGGATAATTTGAATTCAATGAGAGTCAAGAGTTTGGGAAGTTCTTCGTCATTGCAAACACGTCTGACATCAGAGATGACTGAATCAGTCATTTTCCAAGTGATTCCTATCGCTTCCTCTATTGTCAACGAACGAGATCTGGGTTTGGATTCAATGGATACCAACCAATCAACTGTCGAGACTAACAGTCAATCCAATCATATGTTAATAATAATCAATTGAAACGAAGACAACAATACGAACCCATTTCGTGTCCAATAGAGAAGACAATTCGTGCCATTTGTTTGTGAGTTTGAAAGACATGAAGCGTTTGTTTCGCCGACACATTGTCTTTAAAAGTGTTGGACACGAGAACCGATGCCATCATTGATATCCATATCAGTATAAAACCCATCGACAAAGACATTAACGCCAAATATCTTTGCGGTAAAACAACGCAAGACTTCTGGCGATTAGTTTTGT